GACTAAAAATGGACATTCGCTCCGAGTGAGAGATTTATTAGGCTGCGGTTAATGCGTTTGTCCTTTTAAGATAGCAGGAAAATTGGAAATTCTAGGGCTGACGTTTTTGTCGATCAAACATTTTTCTTGTGAAATGAATTTAATGGTGGTTTTTCCTCGACATCTTTCTTAAGTCGTTTATTATATTGTTAATATTTTTTGCAAGCTTTGCAAAACTTCAGGGGTAAGAAATCAAATAAAATTATTCATTCGTTTCTGTAATAAAAATTGACTTAAACCAAGAACTGAATTATGTTAAAAAGAAGAAAAGGCGTGTCAGGCAACTGTCTATTGAAATCCTAGAATCATTTATAGTCTCTTATTTGCATGGAGATTAACTCTATGAAAAAGAATTTTAAAAAATCGATCAATGATAATTTTTTTGTTTATTTGATTTATTTTAAACAATTTGCAATAGAAATAATTTAAACAATCTAAATCATTAAACAATTAAAAAATCAGTCAGTATAATCATATGCAAACCCCTTACTTGCAACTTGCTATTATTATTTTGGTTTGCAATTAACTAAATTAGTAAAATTAGTAAATTAGTGAAATTTAGCTGACTAAATTTCAGCCGAAAATTAAATGAAAATATCTATTGATGATGAATAAAATTACAATATAGACTGAAATATGCTCTAGTTTTGGTTTTGGTTAAAAAAAATATGCATGGTGGGCATATAACAAACCTCATGATGATGGAGAGCTAATAAAAATTCCGAACTTGTTCTGGAATCCAGATTCTGGATCACCTAATGAATGATATGACCACATTCTTGGCGTAAACCAGTAGCCGGAGTGATGTTTATCAATTGGCAACTCGCAGCGACTACAGTCCACGGGCGTTTATTTATTTTAAATGAGGCTCGTTTCCAAAATCAAAAGTATTGAATTGAACTAATTTTAATCAAGAAAATTATAATTTTGGATTGATTCTTTTTTTAAAATTGGAAGCAGAAAAATTTCAATTAAATAATTCAAAAATTAAAAGATTTGAGGAGCAAATTTAAAATTTTTAATTAAATATTTGATCTCATCAATAATTAAAGCATTTTATCGAGCAAAAATCAAAATGTGTCCTCCGAACACAGACGGACAAGGCGAGTTTGTCCTAATCTTGATTAAAAATCACAAAATTAAAATTTTAGAGAAATATTTTAAATTTTCAATTCTTATTAATTTGCCTGTTACTCAAAATAAAAAGCTGTGGCTTTTCATATATTTGAATATTTGATTAAGATAGAACTTAGATGATGCATTTTTCACCACTAACAAAGGGCAAAGACTGACACGATTTTGACTTTGCCCAACCTTTTAAAAAAGGAATTGAGTTTACATTTATGTTACCACAACATAATATTTTGTTCCATCACAGGTCATTGATAAATTTAATACTATTTTCTTAGAATTTCCATGATGATTTAATATTTTTTTACACAAGATCAACGGAACAGCAAGAAGTATAAAAATCATTAGAATTCAATAATCATAGATAGATATGCAAAAGACAATATTTATATAAAGATATTATATAATAATATCTTTGTTTTTCTCTTATTTATCATTACAACGCATTTTCTACAATGAGTATTCTAGCAAAGAATAGAGAAAAGAAAGTAATTGAAATAAAAAAATTCTTTATATTTGCATTATAATTATACAATATTAAAAAAATGAAATATAATTAGTTAAACTATTTTATAAAGCAACAATAAGTTTACTTCTTAATTAATTTTTTATCATTTACTATGTTATTAATGTTCGCGTATTTACAACAAGCAACGCATTAAGTAATTATAGCTAGCTCGAATTAAGTTTGTGGTTCGCAGAAGTGGCAAATTGGCAAGCGAGTGAGCGTGTCTGGGGCCGAAGGGACATACGAATTCGAGGATCACTCAATTTTGTGTCACGTTCGTGGAAGAGCGGGCAATAAATAATTCGCCACGAAGCACAGGAAGCTCATCACCGCGTGTAATATCATCAGGTTGGTGGGTTTTGCGTGTTCTTGGAAGCGGGGCTCTCTCGTATATAATAAAACGACGACGACGAGTTTATATGTGTGTGTGTGTGTGTCTGGAAATAAAATAATGCTGCCTGGTCGACTGGAGGACGCCTAAAGTGATCGTGCATGCGGGGCACGTCGCGACTCAAAGGAGAAATCCTCCGGTTGACACAATCAAACTCGCGGTGAACCAACCTTATTTTTCTCTCTCTAGACTTGAATGGTCTCCGGTCGGTCCCGTGGGAGAGTTGACTGCTCAAAATCGACGCAAATCTCGGCCTTTTTTGCCGCAAAATGCCGCTGCCATTCATTGTGTGCGCAGAAAAATCGAGAGACGCGTTTACGAGAGAGACAATTTTTTATATTCCGACCAACGGCTTGCAAGTGTGTATTTTGATGTGCGATTTCGGAAGGTCGATTTTGTAACTGTACTTTGGCAGGCGTGACTCTAATTTAAAACCACGGGATTTTCCAAGAAATTCAGAATTTTTAAAATATAAATTTGGATTAGATTATAAAATTATTGAAACGATTTTGAGGAAATGAATTAAGTTGAAGAATTAACAATTTTACACTGAAAATTTTGCATTTAAATATAATATCAAAATGTTCATTCCGTAGCAGTGATGCAAAATTTTAATAAATAGTAAAGCATGTTTTTGTTGTTTTTGTAATTTCTATCCCTCTGGTTAATTTTTCATAAAGCTAAATTACATTTTATAGTAAAATATATATTACTTATAATTATAGTAAATTTTTGTTGGTTTTAGTTAGTTTTTCAAGTTAAAAATGAAATAGTAGTCCTACAAAAATAAGAACTTCAGAAGAATCATTTAGTGCGGAAAGAAATTATAAAATTTTGCGACATGGAGGATAGTTTACTTAATTACCTTTTTGGTAAACTTGCATTTTGTGTGTAGTTCTTCAAAAATTGTAATTTTTTTATTTCCCTTATTATGTCCGAACTATTAAAAAGATTTTACCAAATAAAAGCAATTTTCGGGAGGAAAACATTGAATTTTTTCCAAATTATTAATTGCAATGTTTTTGCTTAAATTTCCAAAAAGTACATCGCCATTAATTTTGTCAATTCAATTATTCATCTGAGGCTGATCTTAGGTACAAAAATTGAAATATTTTCTTCATTTAGAAAGTAATTGCTTTAGAATATCACGGGAAATTTAAAAATGCAAAAATTTTGAAACAAAATTTTTTTTCGAAATTAACTGATATTGTCAAATTTGTAAATTTTATTTGTTTTTATATTCCAATTAGGCTGCTTTAGACGACTTAATAATGATGTTTTTGAATATAAGGAAAAAGTTCAATTTGTATATTATTTTTTAAATATCTTGATTTGAGAACTTTTAATATTAAAATAGATATAAATATGAAATTCGCAAGGATTTTCATTAGGGCTTCGAGAACTTTTACCGCAAAGAAGAGGTGATTGTGTTGGTGCAGCTTTAAATTCATCTGTTATGCAGATAGCGGCGCATGCAATATTATTTTACATTTTGCCGTGTCTACTTTGCATAATGATCGCCGACACAATGTGCCGAGTACTTAAGAGTAAGCCCTCTTAAGAGCGAGTCTGTCTCCCTCAACTTCACCTCCTTTCTCGTTATCTGCGCCACTCGAGAAGCAAAATTCATACTTAACTCGCGCGCACAAAATATATTCCGGGCGGCGCTGGCGGAGGAAAAAACACCCCTGCAGATACAACGAATTAAAAACTTTTCGTTATAAAAAAGTTGACGCCGGAAAAATCAAAGTGAAATAATCTAAAATGGAAATAACTTTATACTCGTACCCCTGCGCGACGACGCTCTGTCTCATAAAAAATGGAAATTCGACGCCGCCGCCGCCGCGCCCTCTCTCCAGAAAAGAAATTCTTCAGCACGGCGCTGATTCTATTAGCAGCAAACTTTTTTGCTTAAAGGGATTAAATTCATATTTTTTCGGCTCGAGGAGTAAATCACCTGGACGACGACTAATGAAAAAGAAGAAGTTCCGCACCAGCCCCTTAGCCTTATCAGCGGTATGCAACCAGCGCGACTAGTCTGCCCGACCAGATGCCTACCCTTAAAATTACAAACACCCTCCATAAAATTTCATTTCTGTGTTTATTTTACATCACTTTTTCAATAATATTAGTGCTAAAATTTGAAGAGTGTTTTAATTTACAGGAGACTTTTTACACGAAATCTTAATTTTTCTTGAAATTAAAAATAGTTTTAGGAATATTTGCCGTTTTCACAGGGATATTGTTTTAAATTTCAACTCGGCAAATAAGTCCTTTCTTTGTTAATTAAAAAAAGAATATTAAATTTGAAAATGATCTTTCTAAATTCTGCCATTCTCATTCGAGATACGTGAGACATAAAAAAAGACTTTAGTTCTGGAGATTTTTTGAAATTGCATTATACATGCTGATATATTTATATAAAATTATTTTTTGAATTAAAATTTTAGTCTTCTTTAAACTAATCGTAAGTCTTTTTACTAGAGATTTAATTTCTTGCAGACTAGCTTACGTTGTAATTTTATAAAGGTAAAATTATTAAACTAATTAATTATCAAAGGCAGCTGACATGACACTCCTTTCTTAGCTGTCAAATGGGCGCTTGCTTTTTCTAGCAAAAACGACACAAACGGGGGTCATGTGCCAGAGTCAAAATCGTGATCGCGTTTTTCGTGGCTGCTAAAGTAAGTACACCTTAATTATCCCGCTGCCGGTGGAGGAGTTAATTAAAAAAAGGTGTGAAAATCTTGGGATGAGATCTCTTTCTCCGCTTTTCTCATTCTGCAGACACCGAGATGAATCTCATTGGAGCGAATAACGTGCAGGTGTGAGATGCTATATTTATTTTGCACGCCGAACGACGACGACGAGCGAGCGCCTGCTTTTCAGGCGGGGGCCACCTCGCTCTGCATACATATGGAAATTACTCACGCTTTTTATTGACTCGCGCCAAACATAATCCACATTCCGCATCTCCCCGGGCAGAAAATGCGCGGTGCGTCGCGCCACCCGCGATTTTGCAGCCAAATCCATGCGCCTGAAACAAAATAATATCTGAAATTTAGAAATTTTATATTAATTCCCTGATCAAAAATGTACAGTTGAAAATATGATTTGAAGACGGAAATGTCTAAGTGAGTAAGAAAAGTTCCACCTGAAGCAGATATATGATCCAAATCAAGAACAAATCGTGTTTAAAATTACCCTGATTTTACTATAAATATACGTTAAAATTATCTTCTGTGATATCTGCGAGCATGTTGATAATTTATAATCCAAATAAAAAATATTATCATAGCAGAATATTCCACTTTATTTTTTGTTGTTCGCCTAAAGAAACCTGTTCACGGCGTTTATTGTTCACATTATCAAACATTATTTATTATATCATCAGAATTTTATTAAATATACTATAAATATAAAGAGACATCTTCGTCAGCTGATTAAGTTTATACTTTTCAATATTACAATGGAGGGAACACATGCAATAGAAAATATTTATATTCTTTAATTATGTTTCATTTTTTGAGGGTTTTATAAACGGAGATGAAAACAGAGGAATATGTTTTTAATGACATTAAAGTGGCAAAAAAATGAATTTTAATTAAAATGAAAAAAAATGAATTATTATACTTATATTAAAGTAAAATTTGTATTTATTTAGTCTTTTAATGGTTTGACAGATTACAACTTTTATCATTTGGCTACTTTAAATAATCACAGATTAATCTCAAATTGCTTTCCAATGTTTGTTCTGATTTTTTTAAAGAAATATTTCACTAAAATTTTATAGCAATCTTCTTTCAAGTAATGTTTTTAGAAATTGTTTGGACTTAAAATGGTTCATAATGCCTCTTTTTCATTGAATATCCATGCAATATTAAAATTACAACTCTGTAAATTTTATTTAACCTCTAAAAAACTTGAAAAAAATGACATGCCACGAAAAAAAAAAGAATATTTTTAACCACTCTGGAGCGCAATTGTTGTTGACCTTTGCTGGGTCAAAACCAAAGCAGCTCTTGTGACAGACGCCTGCACACATCGGAATATTCATGAAGTTCTCATCTCAAGAAAGCAGAGCAACTTTTGAGGCGTGCATCCTTTGAAATGTGATCAAAGGCCGAGCTAGCTATGTCGTGTGCTGGGCGCAAACATTATCTTCTCCCGGTGCTAATGAGAGAGCGAGAGAGATGGGTGGATAGCCTCGTTATTCGGCTGCACATCTCTCACCTGGGGTCACATCAAAGGTGACCCCCTGGCCCCGGTCGTGCATAAAAATCGAGCGAGATGAGCCGGCGAGCTGCTCCAGATCCGAGGCGTGTTCAGCCCGCTCATTGGCGAGCCTCGAGTACCTTCTTAAGACGCACTCAGCCAATCCGCCGCCGCCGAGCGCTCGGCTAAGTGAGTTTCTGTGTGCAAGACGAGAGATGTGTACCTGCACACCCACCGTCGCCGATTTTTCTTTTTGCGCCGGCTGCCATCGAGTTTTCCCTCTGCCTCGTAGCGCCAGCGGCGGCGTTTCTAATAAAACTAAATTGGCTCGCTCGCCGCATCCGGCAAAACGAAATTGCACAAAACCGTGGATATTGCAACTGAAAATAACAAGCAAATTCATGATTAAAGTATCTTTAGCAATAATTTTACTTTGATTCTAGTCTCTGATATGCCTTGTGACGTATAATGTTCTGAAATTTGAATGTGTAGTGCAATTTTAAACTCTCCCTGAACATGCAAATAAGAATGGCCAGCTGAAATAAAATTCACGTTTAATTATCTGATCTGCTATTGTAATTTATCATTTAATTTGATTCAAAATAGCATCATGAATAATAATATCATCAAAAATTATATTATTGTAATAAGTTAATTTGAAACCGACTAAAAAACATGTTTAAATTATTTTAGTTTAATTAACAGCAAAATATAGTAGACAATAAATTTATAATTTGATATATCATTATTTTTTTTTTATTAGTTTTATTTTTAAATTGTTTTAATTTTCTTAATTCTATTCTAAAACTGATTAATTTATTTGTTAAATTTTCCCTCAAATTTTAATTTCATGCAAAACCAAAACCAAACTATAAAATAATTATAAAAAAAGGGATTATACTTAAGTATATAATTATAAATTTTCATAATAAAACTCTAGCCCTACTTTTCAGTTGTACTTACAAATAGTTTTGAAATAATTGAAATGATCTTAAATGTATTTATAATATTAAACTTTTTAAGTGCTAATAAAATGGAAAAAAAGGGGACATAAAGCTATGTTAATAATAAACCACTATTTACGCAATATTTGATGTTATATTTTATATAGATCAGTGTCTGGCTTTAATATGCAGACAAAGCTGACAAATAATGATCTCTTAACTATTAATTTCCATCGACCCGTATAACCAATGACAAAACAGCAATTTTTTGGTCGGTGAGTTCGTGCCCGTTTGTGAATAAGGGCGCGTTAGAATATAAATTATCAGATGCGAACTTTCTCTCGACCAACATTATCTGGATTGTTACAGGGGTGAGTTGTTGCAACGCGCACGTTCGTAGTTTTTGGCCATGTGTGTGTTTGTGTCATTGTTGTCGGCCCATTAATCACACTTTGGCTGACAGCTAGATATGCTTATGTGCAGCGCCGGCACAAAAAAGCGATGCATTCGGCGCAAGGGGAGGAAATTAAATAGGCGAGGCGCGTCAGGATTTTGTATTCAGATCAGCAACTCCGTGTGAATAAGAGGGATCAACCAGTCAGTCTGGAAATGTTCGGTACATTGTTGCGTCTCTCTTTTTGAGGGCAGCCAAATGGACGTAATTATCATATTTGACCAAAAAATTAAGAAAACTCAATAAATTCAGTTTAATGTAATGAATAATATTAAATAAATAATAAATAATGAATTGTACCCCAAACAATGGCATGCATAAATTTATTTTGCAACGTTGAGAACATTTCATGTATATACATGAAGCACAATAATATATTTAAAATAGTCTATGTACTGAAAATTGCATGTTTTTTTTTACCAAATTTTTATTTTAAAACTTGAAATTTAAAAAAGAAATTGATATTAACTAAAAATATAATAAAAATTAATAAAAAAAAAAAAATTATAAACATAAATAACAATAATTATTCATTATAACTCTTAAATTTTTAAAATTTTTCAATCCTTTTGTTTCAATAAAATATTTGTTATTTTTGTGTCTTTCGGCGCCACAAAGAGGGTCTTCTATGTATTTTTATCTGTGTCGAAGTGCATGGGCATCTTTAAGCTGATAAAAATGATAATTTAAACGCACTGGGGTAGCGCAAGGTCGCATTAATATACGACGAACAAGTTGATGAATATGAAACGAACTCATTTTAATATATAGGTCAGTAACCCAGAGCAGCTAGCACACAGTCTGCGCCCGCCAACACACACACACAGAGTGCTTGAAATTCATTGCATTTGCATTGAATATCTTTAAATTTTAAATCAACCGCCTGTTGTGCTTTTCGGCCGAGAGCGAGACTGACTGACTCGCAATCAGTCTGCCGCGCCACTATGAATGAGCGGCTCACACACGACGTCTCGTGAATGGGAAAAGATACACACGTGCTCTCTGAATAATTATCCGTTTGTCAGACCATCAATTATAATGAATATTAGAGGTGTCAAAATAACGGAAAAACTTTTGCATTTTTATTTTCAGAAAAAAAAATTGAAAATTCAAATTGGATTCGACTTTGTTAACATCAAATATTCAAATATTTCTAGCAGTGATGGGAAATAGAGTTTTTTACAGATTTGTTTGAAATGCACTATAATGTACTTTTAAAGCACAAAATACTCTTCTCAAGTTAAAATTCAGATTCTAGAATTCCTTATCCTGTTTGATGAAAATTATCAACTCTTTCAACTTTTTGTGTGTATATCAAAATCCATTTTCACGTAAAATTACCTATTTTCAGATTTTTTTTCTCCTGTGTATTTTCATTTGTAATATTTATAACATTTTTGGAAATATAGCTTAAAAGAATAATTTGACCGAGAAACTTTTCGTTAAAATTTTATTTTAATTTCTCTTTCAAAATTATGTAATCATGATATTTTCGACTATTTCACAAAAAATCCCCTATTTTTGCTCTGCTTAAATTCTATGGTCTATGTTTTTAGTAAAATATTTTATGCACGAATTGAAAACAAACCTTTCTGACTCAAATATAAACCACATATTTTCATTGCGAATTGCAGAAAATTGATATAAAACTTAAGTATCTTGGCATAGACCGGCCTTTCTCATTTATCAATAGCATGAGAAAAAATAGCCACAATTAAGATTTTCCTGATAACAGCCATTTTAAAAGCTCCCACACATTATAATTTTGATGATTTCCTAGAGCGTGAGAATGAGTTCGGAATAAACAACCTTCAGTCTTTCTGTGCAAACAGAGATTAAACCGAGAGTTTCGCGTCAGTCCATCTATTCGCAATAAATCGGGGAGTCGCGCAAGAAGGGGAGCCGTAAAAAATCAGGGAAAAAGACACGGCCAGTCATGCGACTTGTTTTAATGGCGAAAATAATAAAACGCACACACGCCTCTGCGCTCATTGTTTGACGTTTGGCCATTGTTGTTGGGGGCTTTATTTATTGTTGTGTGTCGCATGCACGCACACACAATGAGCGAAAAGAGCAGCAAAGGGTTGGCGGGAATAAAGAGCGCGACGCCGGCCGGCCGGCCGTTCGGCGCAAACAAACACGAGTCTGTGTTTTGACACCAGTCACACACTCGCTCGTTCACTCGCGTCAAAATCAAAAGTGAAAAGTCATCAGGCCGCGTTTAGCGGCTTCATTTGCCGCCGATTTATGCAGTCGGATCACATGTCCGTCGGCGGAAACTGGATTTGAGAACGAGAGAGCGAAAATATAAATAAAGTGGATATTTCGATTGATGCGTTTTGCTGAGAAATTGGTACAGAGTTTGTTGGAACGTTTGTCGTGATTGATTAAATAAATTGAAAAATAATTTTATTGAAAAAATTG